TAATAACTATTGCTATTAATATTATCATTTTTGCTCCAGAGGACCTAGGTTCAAATGCCACCTCTGATACTACCTGTGTCACCCTAACCAAGTCACTCCCCTTCTTTGGCCTCAGTTTCCTCCTCTGTAAAATGAGGTAGTTGGACCAGAGGGTACCTGAAGTCCTTTCCAGCTCAAGAGCTGGAAAGTACAAAGTAGGTAATACAAGTATTATTATCACCATTTCAAAATTATTATTGCTAATAATAATAGTGCATAATAGTGGGATAGAATTCTTGGCTTAAAGTTGGGAAGACCTGGGTTCAAATCTCGTCTCTGACACCTACTATCTGTGCAAGTTACTTTATATCTATAAAAAAGTAGCTGGTACCTTTGAGATGACAAGTCTTAGTATGTCATTGTTGGGACTTGATATCAAGAGTGGAGTCCCAAGAAGTCAATAACTGGGTTCCCAACATCATGGCCCCTCCTGTCATCTAAGTCCACAGTGGTAGAGGAAGTGACAACTGGGAAGAAAGGCCACTGAAACAGTTTATTGAGCTACTGGAGCTCTGATCTCTATGGAGGCAATCTCTCTCTCTTTGTCTCTTATTTAACTTCTGACAATTATGAGTCCTCTTCATCTTTCCCCTCTGTACCTGCTAGAAATGATGCAAAACAGAATTGCATGAGGAGGAGACAAGGAGAAAGAGGAAAAGAGAATTAATTTACTCCTGGGGGAGATGAAAATGTGCTGGAGTGTAAGGGAATTTCATTAACTTCGGAAATGATGATGAATACCATGCCAATTATTCTTACTAATGCATAATTCACAGCTGAAAAGAGAGCTTGACTCTTCTAAAAAGTGCATCCCTTTATCGCCCCCCTCCAATTAATTTAGTGAGTTAGTCACTGCCATTGACAGGATAAAAGTTCTGCTATGAAATGGAATCATCTATTAAGATTGACACTCGATGGGTCTTTCTAAGTCGGCATAATGTGGGAGTGGGTACAGAGTTGTATTCTGGGGTGCCAGATGAGCCAAGGTCTTTGTCCCTATAATAGGGAGCCCTCAATAAGCCTCACTGCAGATGGAATTAGAGAGGTTTGGATGACTCTAGAAATCCCCATAGCAACCTGAGCCTCAGCTCTTATACAAACAGAATCAAAAGCAGCTTTGAGCCTCTAGCCAAACATTCAAGATGGATGAGAAAAGGACATGCAAAATCTACTCTGTATGGCCATTGATATATGATAGAAAGATAGATGATGGATAGATAGATAGATAGATAGATAGATAGATAGATAGATAGATAGACAGGTAGGTAGATAGGCAGGTAGGTAGATAGATAGATATACAGATAGATATGTAGGTAGGTAGGTAGGTAGACAGGATAGATAGATAGATAGATAGATAGATAGATAGATAGATAGATAGATAGATAGATAGACAGACAGATAGATAGACAGATGGACAGATAGGTATGTAGGTAGGTAGACAGAGAAATAAGTAGAGAGACAGACATGTAAGTAGACAGATATATAGATAGGTAGGTAGACAGACAAACAGGTAGATAGGTAGATAGATAGATAGATAGATAGATAGATAGATAGATAGATAGATAGATAGATAGATAGATAGATAGATATAGGCAGAGATAGAGAGGGAGGTGGATAGATTGATGATAGAGACAGGTAAAAGAGGTAGGTAGAGATGGATAGAGAAAAATAGATATTGATGTTCTAGGTATAGACATAGGTATGGATCTCTATACTAATAAAATCACAGGTCCATCCCCTAGTCCTTTGTAGATAGATACACATATGTTGGCTATACCTATCAATGTGGAATCTAGATGTTGATAAACATACATGGAGATCGATAGATAAATGTCCATAGGTGGACTTTAGCTTTGTATTTCACCAGATAATTTTAAAATCTTTTTCCTAATATGTGAGCTCCTGTGCACTTTTCTCTTGAGATTCTGGGAGAAATGTTTCATAAGAGGTCTCAAAACTGTTAGCTATTAAACTGTCTCTTAAATCCTTCTCAAATCCCCCTTCTACTCCCCACTCCCATCAGCTTCAAGACAGTGATAATCAGAGAAAGAACTTTTTCACCTTTGACTTTCTGACACAAATCCACCCCTGAATGGAACTGAGAGAACACTGTCTTTATTTTTAATTTAATCCTTTTTTTGAGTTGAGATCACAGATCTATTTGAGTATTAATTAATCTTTCATTGATTTTTCAATTAATATGGCTTTCCATTGTTACTTCCTGATCCATTCCCTACCTTCCATCCCCTATTCCCACCATCCATAAAAATTTCACTTGTTACAAAGAAGTTGTTGTTGTTCAGTCGTGTACAACTCTTGGAGACCCCATTTGGGGTTTTCCTGGCAAAGATACTGGAGTGGTTTACCATTTCCTTCGCCAGCTCATTTTACAGATGAGAAAACTGAGGCAAGACTTGCCCAGGATCACACAGCTAGTAAGTGTCTGAGGCTGGATTTGAACTCAGGAAGACAAATCTTCCTGATGTCAGGCCTGGCACTCTATCCACTGTGCCACCTAGCTGCCCCTACAAAAAGGTATGGCCAAACAGAACAGATCAACACAGAGGCCATACCTGACAATGTATGCTGTATTCCAGACCTCTAGTCTGCTGCCTTTCCACCAAGACGTGGGGGGCATACTTCACTATCAGTCCTCTGAAATCCTGATTGATCACTGCAATGATCAGAGTCTAGGCACAGGGCTGTTCTCCTGGAAATTACTGTTATTATCATCGTCAGTTCTGTTTACATGGCTCTACATCCATTCATACAAGCCCTCTAAATTTCTCTGAATTTTTCATATTAGCCATTTCTTAGAGTACAATAATATTTTCATGACATGCACAAACCAGTTTGTTCAACCATTCCCCAGTTGAGGGGCATCCATTTTTCTTCTAGTTCTTTGCTACAACAAAAAGTGTTGCTATAACTATCTTGGTATATATGGGATCCAACCTTGTGATTTAGACCTCCAGGGATTATGGGCCCAGCAGTGGAATTGCTGGGTCCAAGGGTATGGGCACTTCAGTGACTTGGATAATCTAACTCCACATTGTTTTCCAGAATGAGAGCATTGCCTTTACCTGAGTCTCTTGAGGAGGTCACCCATCTTCCCATGGTACTCCTGAGTATCCTTCTTGGATGTTGCAGAGAAAAATCAAAGGCCCAAAGAGTTGATACAAGTTGAGCTGCATTCTTCCCATAAGAATCATATGGAACAAAGGGCCCAGGATTGTCACCCATGAGAAGCAATGTGGGCAAGTAAAGAGAACACTGGGTTTGGGAGTTAGAAGACCTAGGTTTGAATCTTGGCTTGTCTATTGATCACCTGTGTGACCTTGGGAAAGTAACTCAATGTCATTGTGACTCATTTTCTTCATGTGAAAAATGAGGGAATTGGATGCAATCTTATATACAATCCTTTTGCAGTCAAGGAGACTAGAGTTCAGTGTGTGTGTGTGTGTGTGTGTGTGTGTGTGTGTGTGTGTTGCTATTTAGTAGCAGGGGCTCAGAACTGCCATATACAGTCCTCCATGTTCCATTGACCACCATTATCTGGAAGCAGGGAGCAAGGTGGCCATGGGTCTGGTAATCAAAGGTTGGCCTCCTATAATCCAGAACTTAAATCTAAAATTATCAAACTGGACACTTACCAAATGCCTTCTATGTGCAGAGCACCATGCTAGGCATTCTAGGTGATTGTACAAAGATGAGTAAGACATACTGATAATGGGAGCTGTCCCAAAGCAGAATAGCCTACCTCCGCTCACTGGAAGGCTTTAAGTGAAGACCCCATGGAGGCTCAATGGGCAGGTCCAGAGAAAGGAATTCTTATTCAGCTACAAACTGAGAACCCTATTTGAGATTCTATGGGCCTTCAATCCATCAATCAGAAAAAGCATTTACTAAGCACCTACTATGTGCTAGCATTTATTAAACTCCTACTATATGCTAAGCACTGTGCTCTATACTGAGGATACAAAGGAAAAAGTAAAACTGTTTTTGCCCTCAAGCAGCTTATATTCTATAAAGGCACATAAAAATGTGTGGTCTCAATATCAGAGAAACCTGAAGGTTTTTTTTTTAATTTTTTTTTATTTTTAGGCAATTGGGGTTAAGGGACTTGCCCAGGGTCACACAGCTAGTAAGTATCAAGTGTTTGGTCTGAGGCTGGATTTGAACTCAGGTCCTTCTTGACTTCAGGGCCGGTGCTCTATCCACTGTGCCACCTTGCTGCCCCGAAACCTGAAGTTTCAATAGCAACAGCAGCTACTCTTTTTCTGGGGCTTTCTGGTTTACAAAGTGCTTTCTTCACAGCAGCCCCTGAAAGTAGGTAACTTGAGACTTATTATTCCTATTTTACAGAAGAGAAAGCTGAGGCTTAGGTTAAATGACTTGTCTAAGATCACAGAGTAGCCAAGCCAAGATTCTGGCCAATGTCTTCTGATCCCCAAACACTGTCTATTCCCCTCTACTGCTTCTTATGGATGACAAAACTGGGCTGCCTTTTCTTTTTCCATTTGCTCAGGTGTCAGCTTGGTGGTTCCACCTCAAGGCTGGGGACATGGGTTCCTGTAGGGAAAAAAGCAGCCCAGCTTGTGTCAACTTGTTGAACCCAGGGCCACATCGGAAGTCTCATGACCTGCCAAGAGTGCATGCTGCACTATAGCTGGAGCTGCAACAAGTCATTTCACCAATCTAAGCCTCAGTTTTCTCCTCTGTAAAATAGGGATAATAGGCCTTGAGTTACCTACCTTCACACACTGTTGTGAAGAAAGTACTTTGTCAACTTTTTAAACTTCAAAAATGAACAAAAAAATGAAGCCCTGATTTGTCTCTGTGACACCTGTCTTGTAACTGAATGGAAGATTCCTATTTCTATTCAGAACAGTAAATCGACTTTTTAAGTTTGAAAGGCATAAAATGGAAGGATTTTCTTCTTTTTTTACTTTTCCCCCCAGGAACACAGGAGTCAAAAAACGGAGACAGGTGAGCTTTAGGCAAAGTCATCATCACCAGAAGGAGCATACAATCATCTCGACAGCCTTTGCCTTGAATCCACTCACGTTGGCTGTACTAGGCTGGTAATTTACAAAAATCTATCATTTGGAAAAAAACTTCAAAGTAACTTCTAAGTCTTTAGACACTGGCATTTCTAGTTGAGAGGATATTGTTGGGTATTTACAATAAGAGCCAGTGGGGATCTAGGAATGTTTTGGCTGGTGATTATTCAAATAGTGTACCAAGCTCATCTATGTCTTTTCACTGTCTTTCTGGAAATGCATCAAAGAAAACATTATCAACTGCAGACTTGTAGGAAGGGAATGGAAGGCTAAGAGCCGGTGGGGGCAGTGAGCATTCCTAGTTTCAATTGTTTTTCAAGATGATTCATGATTAAATTTTATTTCTTTTTAAAATAGTTTTATTATTGTCTTTTTTCTTTTACATTGCAGCTACTTCCTTTTAATGTCCTGCTTGCAACCTTTCCATGTAATGAAAACCCCCAAACCTTTCCTTGTAACCAAAAGCCCTCCAAGATATTTAAGCGAGTCAATCGGCATAGCAAGTACATGTGATGCTATGTACCACATTCCAGATCCATGGTTTCCACCTGTCCACTGAGAGAAGGAAGGTATGTTTCCATATCAGTTTTCAAGGACTGAGATTGTTCATTATCATTCATCATACTTCAGCTGCTTTTTATTGTTGCTCCTGTTTATGTTATAGTAATCATTGTGAATATTACTCTCTTGTTTCTGCTTTTTTCACCCTGAATTACAAATCCTCTGATGTTTCTTTGAATCCAACATAGTCATCATTTCTCAGGATGCAATAAAATTTCATTATATACCATAATTTGTTCAATCACTCCTCGGTCCATATGTTTCTGTGATGCTATGAATATTTTGTTTATATATATATATATATATATATATATATATATATATATATATATACATATATACATATATATATATATATACATATATACATATATATATGTACATATATATGCCTCAGTTTCCTCAACTGTCAAATAGGGATAATAGCAGCACCTATCTCACAGAGTTGTTGTGATGATCAAAGGAGGTAATATTTGTAAAGTGGTTTGCAAAGTGCTATCTAAATCCTAGCTATTATTATTATGCCTCTACTAAAATCCTACTCTGATCACATCATAGAGATAAGTGACCCAGGTTTCTGGAATATAACACTAACAGAGCAGCTCCATTTGACTAAACCTTCAAGCCTTTTATTTTATTTTGCTTAATAGCATTTTATTTTATTTTATTTTATTTTGCATTTTATTTTTTTTCCAATTACATGTAAAGATAGGTTTCAACATTCACTTTTATAAGATTTTGAGTTCCAAATTTTTTTCTCCCTCTCCCCTCCCCAAGATGGCATGCAATCTTATATAGGCTATACATGTACAATCATATTAAACATATTTCCCCACATTAGTCACATTGTGACCTTCGAGCCTTTTAGAACAGGCCCATCGATGGACTATGTGTCTGTCGTCCAAGGACAGGCCTGGGGAATTTAGCAGAGAGAAGCTTATCATCAGAGAGTTGAATACCTGGGGATGAGTTTTCCTGGCTCATAGCCACTCTCAAAGACTGCCAACAAAGATTAGATGCATTTGCAACCTGGGTTAGTGTTTGGAGGACATATTCCAGCAATATCTCAGCCATTCTGAAGTACTGATGTGAATACAAGTTACTTTAAATGAGTTTAGTTTCCTTCTTGTGTAGTGGGGACTGGTACATGATATTATTTCCCCATGTGGAGGAGGCTGGGGAACTTGATTTTGGGAGGGTCCTGATGATGTATGTATGATGGAAGCATCTTGGAGAGACTGGAGCACAAGTAGACACTCTGTAACTTATTCAGGTAGGCTACTGTAGTTGTTTTTTGTTCTTCCTTTTTGAAGAGGACCAATGACTCATGTGTGAATTGGATTTAAGTGAGGCAGAGTTACACAAAGTCATCAGCCTCACTCTCTCTCCCCAGAGTCATCCAAGTCCAGTGGTAAGACAAAAGTCAGGATAACTGGCAATGGCCAGGGATGCAGTGGATGACCTTGGCATCTTCAATGCCTGACCAAGCTCTAAGTGCTCCACAGCACCTGCTTCAGTGGCTTTCATGCCTGTTGGAACAAATTATTCTTGTCCACCCATTCCATGAGGGGAAGTCTTCACATGCTTGGGGTAGATACCCCCTAACTCACTGACAAGTTTGAGGCCTGTCAGTTACCCTCAATCTGTCTGTGGAGATAGTTTACTGGAGTGTGACTGCTGTGCATGCTCCAGCTTCCTGGAGCCACAGGTGAGAGTTGGGTGAGTCAGGTGGACATCAAAGGTGGATGAGCAGCCCTGAAAAGGGCTTGGCAAGCCCTCACACCAGAGGTGCTAGGCCTCCTGAACACCCCATACAGTCCCCAGGTAGTCTAACCATGTGATGAATGACAACCTCTTAATTGGCTGTATAACCAGAACTGGGAGTGCGTTTGCAAGGGATTTGCCAACCAAAGCCTTAGCTATTGCACTTTAGCTGGTCTCTTTTGGTGGGTCTCTGTCCTTGTTTTGACTCCTTTGATGATGAGTTCAGTAAGAAGTATACTATAAAGGGAGAGGGTTTGGGCTTTCTCCCCTTAGGAAGCTGACATGTAGCCCTGTGAAAACAGACTTCCATCCTTTGCCTCTATGTCTGTTCTTTCATTTTAGGTGAAGGAAATTAATTTTGAGTCTCCAATCTTGTGAGTTTCAAAAGGTCGGATAATGAGACTCCAAGAGTCCAAGAGATTGGGAGTTGGAGTCCAAGTTGGGTCTTGCAACCAGCTCAGCAGACACTTCAAGATCCAAGAATGAGCTTCAGGACCCAGCAGTGGAGAGGAGGACTTATGGAGCAGTCATCTGAATGGGAACTTGGTGGGACTAATGCTATGTAGAATCATATTAAGTTTGAGCCTGCTCTACTTAGAGACTGAAGTTATGTAGGGGAGAGTGTGCCTCTGAGGTGTTGGGTGGGGGAATATTTGCACTTTTGTTTTTTTCTAAGCAAGTATCTCTTTTGTAAAACCTAATTGATGTGAATGGTTAAATGGAACTGGGGTGCTAGTTAGTCACTGGTGGCTAAAAATGGGGGGAAAATAATTATGGGGGCTTGTGTTGATGGAATTATAGAAGAGATGCCTCAACCTTTTAGGGTTACTACTAGAATGCACTTGGTACTGTCTTAAGGCAAACAGGGTGAAGTGACTTGCCCAGGGTCACACAGCTAGTAAGTATCTGAGGCCATATTGGTTTTAGAGCTACTGGATAGGACTATGAGTAGAGATATGATGAAGGTCACCAATAAATCTATTAATTAATTAACAAACATTCATTAAATCACTACTATTATGCCAAGAGGGGCTGCTAGGTGGTGCTGCAGTGGAGAGACTGCTGGGTCTGTAGTCAGAAAGACTCCTCTTCCTGAGTTCAAATCCAGCCTCAGACACTTCCTAGCTGTGTGACTCTGGACAAGCCACTTCACTCTGTTTGCCTCAGTTTCCTCATCTGTAAAATAAGCTGGAGAAGGTAATGGCAAACCACTCCAGTATCTCTGCCGAGAAAACCCCAAATGGGGCCACAAAGAGTTGTACATGACTGAAATGACTAAACAACAACAAAAATGTGCTAGGCACTGGGGTCAGAAAGACCAAAATGAAACAATCCCTGCCCTCATGGAGCTTATATTCCATCAGGGGAGCCAACATGTACGTGTATATGAAATAGATACAAAACTGACCTCAATTTTAAGAACTCTCCTTGCCCTAAAGTCTGATAATGAATAGACTTGTGCCCCATGTGTGTCTGATGTGTTTCCACTTTGGGTAAAGAGGTGGGGATATTGTAAAGGCTGTAAGAAAAGAACTGCAATACTTATAGGACTGAAACCAGACCCTATATGGGGAAAGGGAGAGGGGATAGTGATATTTAGGAAGGATAAAGAGCAGACTGTTGGGTGACTTGGTGATTGACCTCAATTAGAGGGCAACTTATTATAGGGAGGATGCTGACCATCTACTCTCCATATCTATAGTGTGCTAGGAAACAGGTTTATATTCATGTGAGAAATTGAGCCAGATGTAAAGGAGAAGTCATTGACAATAGGAATTGGTAAACATTAGAGGAGTCCGCCAATGGAGGTTATGAAATCTCCACGGCTAAAATTTTGAAAGCATAAGATATCTTCATTATGAATGGGGGTGGAGAGTGGTCAAACAGATAAGCTTAGTGGAGAAAGTACTGAGAATTCTCCCAACATATAAATGATACTGTCTTTCCTTACAAGATTATCTTCTGATTAGGACACACAAAGCCTAGACAAAGTCTCGTACCTCAATGGTACACCACATTCTGTGATCAGTCAGTAGCTTTCCATTCTTTGTGTACATCATTTCTCTTCCCTTTTTTAAAATTCTGAACCTTAACACTGAAAGTTTGTAAATTTCCATGCACAAAGCAGAGAGCATAAAGAAGATCCTATATGAAACCATGAATTTCTATTTCACTCTGCTTGCTTTAAAAAAAGTATATAATAAACTCTATACTTTGTATGGATAACTTCTTAGACTGCCACTTAGAGATGAGGCAGATGCCACTATTATTTCCATTTTACAAATGCAGAAACAGAGACTCATAGAGGTTAAGTGGTTTGCCCCAGTCAAACAGCTAGTAACTGGATTTAAACCCAGGTCTTTCCTGATTCCAAGTCAAATGGCTGAGCCATGTGAATTTGTTTATAGAAATGGGGGGAATTATGACAGCAGAATTAGATCACTGCCACCAGAAATTACAGAAAGATTATCTTTAAGGAATGAAGATTATTGATTCGTATAGATGATGTAATGAAGTGGTACAAACTGTGCAACGTATTGTGGCAAAAATTTGGCACCTCCTAGATACATAGAAAATATGATCAGGTGGCTAGGAATTAATTATACACCAGGAACTTGCTATCTTTCTTAAACTAGCAGATGGCAAACCTTAGCATTACAAATTCAAACCTGCAGGTATCCTTGAAAATTCAGAAAACAAAAGGCACTGGAATTATAGCATCATAACAGATAGAATTGTTGCTCACAACTGCCTAGACGTTACATTGATCCATAAAAATGTAAGACTACCACTTGTGATTGCTAGAACCACAACAAACACTCAAAATCTCCAAAGTGCAGAATGAAAAACTTTCAAAACACAGAGCATTAGCAGACAAAGTTAAAACTACGAGGAAATGGGACCATGCCACCCCTGTCATCTTGTCTGCTACCGGAGTTGTCCCAGAAATGCATTTCAGTTCAATTCAACTCAATGAACATTTATTAAGAACCTACTATGTGCCAGGTGCAGAGATGGTTTCAGTGAGTCTACAGAAGGCAAGCTTATACCCCAGTACTCTTATTAAATTACAAAAAAGCAGTCATTGTCTTCAACTGTGCAATAGTCTACAGAATATTAAGCATAGAATAGCAATAGCAGGATAGCAGCTTATTCTCAGATAGTTTCAATTTGAACCCCATTTAAAAGACAAGAAGAATGAAATGATGATGACGACAATGATGATGATGATGACGATGATGACGATGATGATACATTTAGAGCAATTAACACGTAGGTAATGTCAAGCTTCACATATACTTTTGGAATGTTAAAATTGATGACAACAGATTGTAAGAGGTTTTCAGTAATGAAACGCAGGGCTCATCACCCCTAAGGCAGCTATAGAAAGATGAATGCTTCCTCATCCAAAAAGAGAAAGAAGACTAATAGATGTTCTCAGAGCCCATGAGAAGTAGGTTGATGATTTACAGAAATAAATTATCCAGAGGTAAGCCACTGGATCTGTCCAAGGTGACTGAAATTGGTGCTTCTCTGGATGAAGTCTATGGAATGGCCAAGATCCAACAGTGAAATCAAAAGGCCCTCCATGGCTGACATCCACATGAACTCACCCAACAATATGTTGACAAAGAAGCAAGTGGCTTCAAACAAGTGGTTGAGTCATGTGGGTTTGTTTGTAGAAATGTAGAGGTTTAACATAGCAGTACAGAATTAGGTCCCCACCACCAGAAATGACAGAAAGGTTATCCTTAAGAAATCCAGTCTTATTGATCAATGTAGATTGTGCAGCAAAGTGAGAGAAAACAGCAACATATAATGGCACATTAATAAATATAAATAAATTTAGTATAATGAATAAATAAATAAAAATTTAGTGTCTACTGGGTACTTAGAAAGGCACAATAGGGTAGCTAGAATTATGCACCATAACCTTGCTATCTTTTCTAAAATAACTGGTGACAAATCCCTGTACAACAAATATAAACCCCGAAGTAACTTTGACAATTGAACAAATCAATTGTATAAGAATGGGAGCATCATTTCAGATAAAGCTGTTGCCCATAACCATCTAGACATAACTATGATCCAGAAAAATTTTTGAATAGCATTTTAAATTTATGTTGTGATGTGGACTATTCATAATCTCTAAACTACATAGAATGAAAAGCTTTCAAAATATAGAGATATAGTGGAAGAAACCAAAATTAAGGGGGAACGGCTGGGGTATACATCTCCCCTTATTCTGTCTGCTGCTAGTATTGCATCAAAGATGCTTTCAGCTAATCTATGAAAGGTGGGCTTGCATCCCAATCCTTTTATTCAATTATCAAAACCAGTTATTTTACCCATCAAATACTACATGTAAAAGAACAATAGCAAGATTGAAGCTGGTCCCAGTATCATTCCTTTCTGAAATCTGTCAAAATGGATAAGAATAAGACAATAATAATTGGTGATGTTTAAAGGTTCGCAAAGTAATCTACTTATCTTATCTCAATGGATTCTCATACCAACTGTGTGAGGTAGGTACTGCTATCATCCTCTTTTTACTGATGACAAAATCAGGTGAATGTTGGAGGCAGGATCTGAACACAGCTCTCTTCTGACTCCAACCTTAGCATTCTTTCCACTACACTACAGAGTCTGTTTAATCTATTTTGAAGATAGTCTTCATAGGATATCCTAAAAAAAGGGCAAAGCTTGGTTCCATCAACAATCAGTCAGTCAACAAGTGTTCGTTAAACATCTACCATGTGCCAGGCACTGTGCTAAGTGCTGGTTTAATCTTATTGCACTCAGGGTATGAACAGTGAATTTATGAAATTGGATCCCTCCTAGCCCTGAGCCCCACTGGGCTGAAGTCAATTTAATTTGAGTTGCTTTGGAAAATGTTAAGTGAGCCAATGGCCGTTTACATCTGCCACTTGATTAAAATTGATAGTCATCTGGGAACTGGAGATAAGCCTGGGAGACAATAAGGATAGTTCTCTCCAATGAGCCCACATTAGCCTCTACATTTAATAACACTAGAACTTTGCTCATGGTGATTTCATGCTCCTGAGGATGTACCTGCTTGTCATGTGCTGGGAACCAATTAAAAAGAGGATCTAACAATGAGCTATTCCTTCCAGAGTCAACAGAGCATTATTTCCAACAGTACGACAAGGAAGCAAGGACAGCTGTGTTGTCCTAGCCGAGAAGGCATCCAGCACCCAGTGAGAAGATGCTGAGCTCCCTGCATAGTACCTCTGTTCACATAGAACTGAGTGGGTGGGATTTGGGAAGTCTACTTGGGTCACTTTGAGGGAATCCTTTTTGCTTCCTGATAGATCCGACGGTGCTGAAAGTGAAAGGTTGCCAACTCTCCGTTGTATTGCCAGGTGAGTTTCTGAAATAACTCTTAGAGCTGCTAGAAAGAGGTAAGAAAGATGTCCGCAAGATGATCACAGGGTCATGGATTTAGAGCTAAAAGGGACCTGAGAGGCTATCAAGTCCAACTTCTTTATTTTATAGATAAGGAAACTGAGGTCCCGAGAAGAATGACTTAGCTTGGTCACACAGGTGCTGAGTGTCTGAGGCAGGATTGGAACTCAGGTCTTCCAATGTCCAAGTCAAAAGTCCTATCTTCTATACCATGCTGCCTCTAGCATGGTTTGCTGTTTGAAATGGAATTCGATTATTTTCCATTATATTAAGAATAGCTGTAAGAACATTAATACTACCTCCCCCTAAATCATCCTCTTCCAATGCTTTGTGGTGGTATGGAGGTCACCTTGAGTTCTTGTTTTTGTTTTTTTGTTGGCAATTGGGGTTAAGTGACTTGCCCAGGGTCACACAGCTAGTAAGTGTCAAGTGTTTGGTCTGAGGCTGGATTTGAACTCAGGTACTCCTAACTTCAGGGCCGGTGCTTTATCCACTGCACCACCTAGCTGCCCCACTTTGAGTTCTTAAAGAGTGTGCCAATAAAGCATAAGCCTTGGCAGGGCCCATCAAGCT